TGCTTTAGAGGAGTTTCTTTTACAGAATCTGAACCAGGTGAAACTAAAATTGACAATAAAACTGTTCTGGGTCGAACATATGTACAGACAAACAAGGTTTTCTTCATCTTAAATGCAAATTGTTTATATATTTTTTGTACAGTTTTGCCTTAATTACTGCTGTGAGTATGTTGTTGTTCAGTAAATTGACTTTACTGCTGCTATACTCCAGGTGTTAAATGATTACTATTTTAATTGATGATTATTTTAATAATCAATTAATCAGATTTAATATGTGCATTTAATCACATTTAATAAGCCCTAGATTGTACCTAAAACAGATGTCTACCACAGACGTAGCTGTAAGTAAACCTTTACTTAAACAACCTCTCTCCATCAAGATAATTTAATAAACTGCAGACCTATATCTAATCTCTCTTTCCTGTCTAAACTTCTTGAGAAAGTTGTTGTTAATGATGTGAGTGAGGATTTATGCAGTAATGAAGAGGTGCAGTCACTGAATGAGCATAGGTGAAAGTCACTAATGATTCTCATGGCCTCATATGGTGGACTTGGTCCTTTCTTTTCCAGTTAGAATCACTGCTTTTTTTGATCCAGTCAATCAACATTATTATTTTAAAAAGAATGATGTTAACATGTAGGGATAAAGGGAACAACAATGGACTGGTTTAAATGTAATTTGTCAGTCAGTTTTTTCATGTAACCGATAAATCTTTACACTCCATTGTTACTTTGGAGTACCAATGTTCAGTGCTTGATATATATACTGAATGACAGAGAACAACAAAAAGATACAGCAATAAGTAGAATACCTAAAGAGCATATAGTGGAGCATGGAGTTTGAACAGTTGTGGTTTAGTTAGACCAAACTCAGCACAACTGGTGAGGAGCAGCTGGGTCAAAGTGGAACAGTGAATCAGGCTGTAAACAGAGTGCTCAGGTTCAGGTAATCATAAAGAAAGAGGAGAAATTATCAGAAATTATCCTGGCAGTCGAGTTCAATTGGAAAATGCAGCAGCTAAACAAATGTTGGTTCGCATCATACCTATTTACTTAAGGTAGAGGAAAGGAACTAAAATCTTATAAAATAGAAGACTTGCACTATGCCATGCTGTTACCCACTTCTTGTGTATTTAATGTAACATAATCAAAGTATATCTCAGGCTCCATGCAGATCTTAATAAGCCTGGAAGTCAAAAGATAACAGTGCTGATAGTGACGATGACAAAGATGGCTACTGCGATTCCACCTAAGTGTTTTGATGCAAAGTGATAAAAACAACCCTCCTTTTGGATCAATTCAGAGCCATTTGTCATCGAGCAAGGACAGTTGTAATCATCCCTTTTGCTTGCTTGGCCCATCAGTCTTCCTTGTTAGATATATCATGATCAATCTTGGCTCATTTATTTTAATAGTCTCTTATTTGCCAGACTGGCAAAGTCAAAGGGTGACAACAGAAACTAAGTCCATGTTGTAAATGAGCCAAAGTACATGAAACTGTCCTTTTGATGGAGCATTTTAGCTATGCAGAAGAAAGCAGAGGTGTGGACTTTAGTTATGTCAATGGGGTATATGCCTCGCGAGGTGGTGACGTATTTCCGTTTGAATTTATGCCACATAGTTTGGTTCCGGGTCCTGCTGGCTCCTATTGTTTTCAGCCAAAGCTGCAAGATCTGTACCATGAAAAAGACGCAAAACTTAAAACATCTGTGAGCTACTGGTACAACAACTGAGTTTTGTGGTGTGCCTTTGTGTCCAGTAATTAGCCGGTACCATCCAGTGCTTAGTTTTTTCATTTTCCTGCTGATATCAAGGCGACAGTGGACTGTAGCCAAAACTTAGCCACTACAGCTAACACACGGTTTGTAGCTGCCTGCTATTTCAAAGCTTGAGGATATTGAAGATCCAGCGTCAGAAATGGAAAGACGGAGGTTAAAAGGGAGCTGTACGAGCTTCGTTCACTGGAATAATGTGTTGGAGGAAAATAATGCCAGACGAAATCCACTGCTACGAGAACAGGCTGAGAACAGAGGCAGCGATTCAACACAAGGTAAGTCAATACGTGTGTGTTGATGTGCGTTTGTGTTATACGTATATTTTTAGGCAACTCCTTAGCTTTTGTTTATATGACAATTATACAAAATACATTTAACATGCAGTCGGAGCGACGAGCCCCTCCGATACCGAG